GAGGTCTTTGATTTCAAATTGACCTTTTGGCTAGTTCACATCTATACTTCCTAGTTTAAATCTGTTACTTTACGATTAATTGATTGAGCAGTTTCGAAGCATTGTTGTGCGGACAAGAAACAAATCATTAGATTACAATTTTTTTTTTGAGATCAATAAACAATGGATGACGGATATTGGCACAGCAAAGTACCTTACATCAGGAGGGCGGTGTATCGACTAGCATAAAAAACTTAAAGTTGAACAATGTATCGACTACCATAAAAATCCAAACAGAGAATTCAAGCAAGTCCCCTGCTCTCGCAAGTGATGCAAATGCCGGCATAACTAAACCATTATACACAAAATATGGATCAACCATACGATTCCAGGATCTCTTTAACTATATCCCCTCGGGTACCTAGTAGCGAATATCCCCCCCTGTAAAGAGGTAAATCAACGGTTAAGCATATGATAGTTTTAAACCCAGTCCCCCCTCCCCCAAGGGACGTACCGTAGAATATCCCCTTCGCCAAGTTGTTTGTCCAAATTGAATGTCCAGTTTGTCTACATCTGCTTGCATGTCATTATAAAAATCGACAAACGATCTTGGTTTATGTAAAATGTATCATCTTCAATAAGTGTAAAATCACCGCAACTTTCAATTTTCAAGAAAGAAAAAAATATTTACAACAACTTACAACTTCTCGATTTTTTTGCTCAAATAACTTTATAAAATGATCTGTCTGAAGTTTTTGTATTTGTATTTATTAGTCCAAGCAACAAAAGGAAACAAGTTTAACTGGCCTGTAAGCGTCGAGGTGATTCATGGCTCTTTCAAAACAGTTTGTATTTTTTGCCAATGAATGATGCTGCAGTTAAATCTTGAAATGAAGCATAAATTGCATTTATAGTGTTGTCGGAAAGAATTTTTTTTCATTTGAATGTAAAAACTTTATCAATCAGTCTTGAAATATTTTTCAACCTTTTTTGAAATTTTTTTCAACGTCTTCGGATTTCCTGCAAAATTGGTCCCAAATTTACACCATTACACGAGACATTTTTTTAATGAAAGTTTCCCTGACAATTTTTTTTTCGCACTTAAAGTCCCTCTAATCATAAAATTTTGACTCGTCTACTGAATTACATTTTGAATCATTTCAAATCTTAGTTTGTCTCGCTTTTTAATCAAAAAGAGTCTTCAATATAGGTGATCATATTCGTCGGAAGACTCAATATTAGTTTTTTAGTCTGGCTATGGTCTTAATTTTGTTTTTTTTATCAATGATGGAAAATATCATCTTCAAAATTACCCAATAAAGATTAACTTTTGATGTTCAAAAACTATCTACCTGCACTCAGTAAAATTATAATGGATTTCAGTCTCCATACATTTCAAAAAGAATTGATTATAATCGATTAAAAATGGATTATATTGTTACTATTTTTCAAAAAATAAAAATATTTACAACCGATTCTAATCGATTATAATCGATGATTTTATGAAAGTTTTGTTTTCTCAAATTTTATTGAATTATAATCCATTATTATTCAACAAACGTTATCGCTTCATTTCATTTTAGTTTTGTTTTGTTTTGCGTGCATTTTCTTTTAGTTCGGCAACCAATTGAAGAGCACGCAAAAAAAACATGAAATTTGACGAAAACATGTGGTGCATGAAATTTGACGAAAACAAGGTTTTTTAATGCCTTGGGAGAGCTTGGAATCAATCTAGTCAACCGTTATAGGGTTTAGGAGACCCCACCTCCCTCGGGAAAATCCTAGATCCGCCCCTGGCGTACTGATTCCCACTTCTTACTGATTTTTACTGTGTTTTCATGCAGAATAGCTAAATTATAATCCATTAAGCTTGATTTTTTCTTGTAAAATAATATTTTGATAGAAAAAGGGATTATAATCTACTATAATAGATTATAATAGATTATAATAGATTATAAGAGAATCTAAGAGATTATAAGAGGTTATGAGCTATTTTCGGAAAAATTATAATCAGTTATAATTGGTTATAATTTATTAAAATGTCACCAAAATGTTATCATTGTAATGGATTATAAATCGTTTAAGCATCTAAAATTGGCGCTTATAATTAATTATAATTTTGCTAAAAGTATGATTTTTTTAATAATATAATCGATTATTTTCTCTTTTTACTGAGTGCGGGTAGGTTCATAGCAATTTGTTATATACTTGAGACTTGCAATCAAAATATTTTGATAACTACAATAAATTTTACCGTGTTAAAAGATGTTGGTGTAGGCGATATCAAGTGGTCGATAGATGTTTCATTAGCTAGTGTTAATCCTTAAAGATCAAAACTAGATATTTAGATATTTATGAAAACTAAGCAATTCTCAATATTCGTTCAAATTATTTATCTTTTATCAAAATATTAAAATAAAATAATAGAACCATAAAAAAGTTTTTGATTTTGAAGTCGTAATTTGCGTAGTGTTCCATTTTGTGAAAAAAGTGAGGAAATTATATGCTAGTAGTTTTTTTTCTTTTTATATCAACTTTATAAAAAAGATTTACTCTCAGTGGCTCGATTGCTATATGTTCGTGGGTCCGCCGTGTTCATGAACCACTATATTCGCGTGAAAGGAATCTAGCTAAGCTGTTCTTTTTGTTTCGACATTCGAAATGAAAGTAATGGAATATTTGTTCTCAGGGTGAGTTTTTCTTCTTCAGAGAAATTTCGACTTTTTAACTAGCCATTTTTGACGGGATTTTTTAAATATCATTTAAGGTTAAAAGATTGTTATTTTGGCCAATTTGGGACAATTACAGGGCGATATATTTCGCGTTAAGGCGTAAGCGAGGTTTAATCCGTCTTAGAAATAGCTCCAAATTGGTTCAAGGAAGCTTATATGCCATAATTGATTTGTTAATAGGAGCAATATCTATCACTTCAAACTTAATATGATGTGTGGGGGTTGTTTTCACAAAAATTTCAATTTTTTTAAAATTTTTTATTTTTGTTTCATAACATTTTTCATGTTGTTACTGCTCCATAGAGTTTAAAAGGCAGTCGTAACATTCAAGGCTTGGCCCTGATACGAGCAGTCTTGTTATATTTTGTTGCTGAAAGTGTAGCGCACACTATTTAAGCGTGGCAAATTATCTATCACACTGAGTAATTTCAAATTGAAATGAGGCAATCTAATTTGTCTTATTAGTTACATACACATATCAAATTTTAACACTTTAAATTTGAAATAATCAGTCTGAAGTGTCAAAATTTTATCAATTTTTTTTACATTATTGTTCCGACTTTCGATACGAAAGTAACGGAATATTTGTGGTCGGGGAGTGTTTTTTTCTTCAGATAGTTTTTGACTTTTTAACTAGACATTTTTGACGGAATTTTTTAATATCATTAAAAAAGTATTGTTTCCTGAATTTAAATTTAAAAAATATTTACCTGTGATCATTTTGTATGTTATGAGTGTTTAAAGATTGCCATTTTGGCCAATTTGGGACAATTAACGCGCGATATATTTTGCGCTATTAACGCGTAAGCGGAGATTTAATCCGTCTTAGAAATCATTACTAATTGGTTGAAAGAAACTTATTTGCCATAATTGATTTGTTACAAAGAGCGAAATTTTTCTTTTGTACTTTATAAGGCGTGTGGGGGGATGATTTCATAAAAAAATTTAGAAAAAGTTTAGAATTTTTTTTCTTTTGAATTTACTACATTTAATTTTTTAACGTTAACACCGCTCCACAAACCTTAAAAGGCAGTCGGAACATTCAGGGCTTTGCCCTGATATGAGCAGTATTGTTTAATATTTCCATTTAATACCACAAATATAATAATATACCATTTTACATTTATTCGAGACCAGTTAATGGGCACTTGGAACATTCAAGGTTTTGCCCTGATAAGAGCAATCTTTTTTATTTTATAGAAATTTGAATAAAAAAAGCATTTTCAAAAAACGAAGACCTGCAAACTAGGCATGTATTGTGTACCAAACTAGGCATGTATTGTGTACAACCTTCAATGAACTTTCGAAATTTTTCAACAGAGTGTATCCTACGCTAATATCAGAAATTGTTGGTACTTTTTAGAATTTTTTTGTTATAAAATGCCATTTAATTTTTTCTTCAATCATTGGAAAAAAAGTTGGTTGGTATTTTAAATTAAAACGATACCAGTAAGATTGTTTGGAGAGCCAAATTTCAAAATAATAAATTACCTTCGATTTATCAACCATAGTTTCAATAGTCAATTAAGGGATCATAAAGAGCTCTTAATGGACAATTGAGGATATAAAATACTTAGATTGAGCAGGGGCGGATCTAGGATTTTCTTTTTGAGGGTCGACCTTTTTTTAAGGACGTTCAAAATGATTTTCCGAGCTCCCAAACCAAAGCACTAAAAAGACGTGGTTTTAGCCAAATTTTCTTCAGCGTTTTGAGGCACTTTTTTTGAAAATTTTGACAAAAAAAATTGCCATTTTTTGGCTCGCACTCCCCCTCAAAAATAGTATATATCTGCACCAAAGGCAGAGAAAACTTTTAGGTCCGTCTCCCAAAAAAGGTATCTCAAAATAGTAAAAAAAAAGGGGTCCTTTGGGTCGACAGGGGGTGTAATCCTTGAGAATCAGGGGTCCGCCCCCCTCCTCCCGTCCTAAAATCACATTGAGGCTAAGTGTTTCCTCTGTATTCTTTTAGACGAGATCTTTTGAGAAAATCAATTTTGAAACTTAAACCGAAAAACTTTTTTTAGTTATAGCCATTACGACTCCTTCAAAGAAAACTAATTGCCATCATTAGTTTTTATCATTCATCCTAGGTTTGCATCAATCAACCTAATCTCCGAACTTTTTGACATGATTTTAAAATTCCCCAAGAAGTTAAATAGGTTTTTTATAGGTTCTAACTGCCATCAATCGTTTGTATCATTCATCTAGAATCGTGGAGTCATTGGGAGTCTTTCATTTGTTTCCACAGACCTCAAAAATTTTTTATCAACGTCACTCGTTTTTGCTGCGTATGTGTTGCTGGTTTTTCAAAAGATGTCGATCGCTCCTTAAATAAATTTCTGCTCTCACGTGCAAGATACGGGTGACTAGTTCTTGCATGTGGCAGCATGCTAAATTTAGTATTATTTTTTGACAGCAAATTTTTCACTGCAACTAATTTTTGATAAGGAACAAATGACAATATAGTGAAGCATTAAAAAATTGATTAAATTAGGATGGACTTGTTTCTTTACATGAAACTTCTGTCACATACTAACTTTATTATAAGAATGAAATTCAAGTTTTCAAGAATGACATTAATTGTATGTTGGTTTCTTGCATTAAAATTGCAAGAGTAATTTTTCCCGAGATTGAAAATGACAAAAACTCATCATTGTACGCTCACGCATTTGACCCTGAGGGCAAATTTTCAACATCGACTTCGTCTGTTTTTGAATGCTTTTCTTCGTTGCTTTTTTTCTTCCTCTTTTCGCTTCCATGCACAGTTATAACTTGAACTTCATGAGACAGAATAGGGACTAAATTCTGAAGTGAGTCATCGTCTTCGTCGTCACTGGGACTGAGTAGGATGACCATAAGTCGGTAGACGTCCATCATGACCAGCACTGAGTTCTTGACCATGAAGAAGTAGATGGAATCGTTTTGGTTCACTCCGAAGCGGAATACTAGCATAAGACGAACTATCAGGAATGGAAGGTCCTGAAAACATTTAATCATGATAATCAGGGCGTATCTAGGATTTTCTTGAGGGGGGGGGGGGGCGGATTTTCAAAAAATTTAGGTCGACCAAATTGATTTTCCGAGCTCTTCCAAATCAGCAAAAAGACCCTGTTTTGGTCAAAATTTCTGCGCCGCAGGCAAAATTTTGAAAAACAGGCCAAAAAAGGCGTTTTTAGGCACTTTTTGGAAAATTTTGACCAAAAAATCGCGGTTTTTTGGCGCGAGCTCCCCCCTCAAAACCTCAAAATTAGTATATATTGTCGGCCAAGGCGCCTTTAGAAATATTTCAGGGTCCGTCACCAAATATGGATATATCAAAATAGTACAAAGGGAGGACCCTTTGGGTCGGTAGGGGGTCGAATCCCTGAAAAGAAAAGAGTCGGCCCTCCCCCCTGGACCCCCCTAAATCCGCCCCTGATGATAATGTTTAGAATTTACGGCTCCCACATTGGCCCTCTCCAAGTCATGGAAGTAAAAAAAACATGTTTAGGGTGTCGCATTTTTGTTCGTTATGAAACAAAATGGCAAGAGCCAAAAGTTGTTTTAAATCATACAACGCTCTTTGATGAACAAGGCATGAGTTTTTGGCCAGTGTAGTTTTAGGCAAGAACACGAAAAAGAATCAAAATCCGCTTTGAGTCAGGCTTCGAAAAGAGTGACGAGATATTTGCACTCGGAGTGTTTTTTCTTTAGACAAATTATAAAGTATACTACAAATTTTCTTATATACTCTGAAAAAAATCAATACGCGCCGCCGAAAATGAAAAGATATTTCCCTTGTGACTTTTGTTATGAGGGTTCAAAGATTGTCATTTTGGCCATTTTTGGATGATAACTTTTTTCGAAACTACTTATTTTCTCAGAACGCGTCGGCATAATCCGGTTCAAAAAGCCTTCCATATTGAATCGAGGCAACTTTACTGGGTTTTCTTTTGATATACTTAACATTACGTGTTGCGGTAGTATTTCTAAATTTTTAAAATCATTTTATACTTAACATTGCCTTTTGTGGTTGATTTTTAAGTTTTTTAAATCAATTTGTACTAACGTTGCGTGTTGGGGTAGATTTTTAATTTTTTAATCCATTTTGTTTTAACGTTGCGTGCTGGGGGGTAGATTTTTAATTTTTAAAATCATTTTGTACTAACGTTGCGTGTTGGGGTAGATTTTTTCTTTCAAATCATTTTGTACTTACATTGCGTGCTGGGGTAGATTTTTTCTTTCAAATCATTTTGTACTTAAGTTGCGTGCTGGGGTAGATTTTTAATTTTTTAAATCATTTTGTACTAACGTTAGGTGTTGGGGTAGCTTTATAATTTTTAAAATCATTTGGTACTAACGTTGCGTGTTGGGGTAGATTTGTAAATTTTTAAATCACTTTGTACTAATGTTGCGTGTTGGGGTAGATTTTTAATTTTTTAAATCATTTTGTTCTAACAATGCGTGTTGGCGTAGATTTTTTTAATTTTTAAAATAAATTTGTACTAACGTTGCGTGTTGGGGTAGATTTTTTTCTTTCAAATCATTTTGTACTTACGTTGCGTGCTGGGGTAGATTTTTTCTTTCAAATCATTTTGTACTTAAGTTGCGTGCTGGGGTAGATTTTTAATTTTTTAAATCATTTTGTACTAACGTTAGGTGTTGGGGTAGCTTTATAATTTTCAAAATCATTTGGTACTAACGTTGCGTGTTGGGGTAGATTTGTAAATTTTTAAATCACTTTGTACTAATGTTGCGTGTTGGGGTAGATTTTTAATTTTTTAAATCATTTTGTTCTAACAATGCGTGTTGGCGTAGATTTTTAATTTTTAAAATAAATTTGTACTAACGTTGCGTGTTGGGGTAGAAGTTTAATTTTTTAAATCATTTTGTAATAACGTTGCGTGTTGGAGCAGATTTTTATTTTTTAAAATCATTTGGTACTAATGTTGCGTGTTGGGGTAGATTTATAATTTTTTAAATCATTTTGTACTAACGTTGCGTGTTGGGGTAGATTTATAATTTTTTAAATCATTTTGTTCTAACGTTGCGTGTTGGGGTAGATTTTTAATTTTTTAAATCATTTTGTACTAACGTTGCGTGTTGGGGTAGATTTTTAATTTTTTAAATCATTTTGTTCTAACGTTGCGTGTTGGGGTAGATTTTTAATTTTTTAAATCATTTTGTACTAACGTTGCCTGTTGGGGCAGATTTTTTATGTTTAAAATCATTTGGTACTAACGTTGCGTGTTGGGGTAGATTTATAATTTTTTAAATCATTTTGTACTAACGTTGCGTGTTGGAGTAGATTTTTAAATCTTATAATCATTTTGTACTAAAGTTGCGTGTTGGGGTAGATTTTTAAGTTTTTAAATCATTTTGTTCTAACGTTGCGTGTTGGGGTAGATTTTTAATTTATAAAATAATTTTTTACTAACGTTGCGTGTTGGGGTAGACGTTTAATTTTTTAAATCATTTTGTACTAACGTTGCGTGTTGGGGCAGATTTTTTTTTCAAATCATTTTGTACTAACGCTGCGTGCTGGGGTAGATTTTTAATTTTTTAGATCATTTTGTACTAACGTTGCGTGTTGGGGCAGATTTTTAATTTTTTAAATCATTTTGTTCTAACGTTGCGTGTTGGGGTAGATTTTTAATTTTTTAAATCATTTTGTACTAACGTTGCTTGTTGGGGTAGATATATAATTTTTTCAATCATTTGTTCTAACGTTGCGTGTTGGAGTAGATTTTTAAATTTTCAAATCATTTTGTACTAACGCTGCGTGCTGGGGTAGATTTTTAATTTTTTAGATCATTTTGTACTAACGTTGCGTGTTGGGGCAGATTTTTAATGTTTAAAATCATTTGGTACTAACGTTGCGTGTTGGGGTAGATTTTTTTTTTCAAATCCTTTTATACTTACGTTGCGTGGTGGGTAGATTTTTAATTTTTTAAATCATTTTGTACTAACGTTAGGTGTTAGGGTAGCTTTATAATTTTTAAAATCATTTGGTACTAACGTTGCTTGTTGGGGTAGATATATAATTTTTTCAATCATTTGTTCTAACGTTGCGTGTTGGAGTAGATTTTTAATTTTTCAAATCATTTTGTACTAACGCTGCGTGCTGGGGTAGATTTTTAATTTTTTAGATCATTTTGTACTAACGTTGCGTGTTGGGGCAGATTTTTAATGTTTAAAATCATTTGGTACTAACGTTGCGTGTTGGGGTAGATTTTTAATTTTTTAAATCATTTTGTACTAACGTTGCGTGTTGGGGTAGATTTTTAATTTTTTAAATCATTTTGTTCTAACGTTGCGTGTTGGGGTAGATTTTTAATTTTTTAAATCATTTTGTACTAACGTTGCCTGTTGGGGCAGATTTTTTATGTTTAAAATCATTTGGTACTAACGTTGCGTGTTGGGGTAGATTTATAATTTTTTAAATCATTTTGTACTAACGTTGCGTGTTGGAGTAGATTTTTAAATCTTATAATCATTTTGTACTAAAGTTGCGTGTTGGGGTAGATTTTTAAGTTTTTAAATCATTTTGTTCTAACGTTGCGTGTTGGGGTAGATTTTTAATTTATAAAATAATTTTTTACTAACGTTGCGTGTTGGGGTAGACGTTTAATTTTTTAAATCATTTTGTACTAACGTTGCGTGTTGGGGCAGATTTTTTTTTCAAATCATTTTGTACTAACGCTGCGTGCTGGGGTAGATTTTTAATTTTTTAGATCATTTTGTACTAACGTTGCGTGTTGGGGGGTAGGTTTTTAATTTTTAAAATCATTTTGTACTAACGTTGCGTGTTGGGGTAGATTTTTTTTTTTCAAATCCTTTTGTACTTACGTTGCGTGGTGGGTAGATTTTTAATTTTTTAAATCATTTTGTACTAACGTTAGGTGTTAGGGTAGCTTTATAATTTTTAAAATCATTTGGTACTAACGTTGCTTGTTGGGGTAGATATATAATTTTTTCAATCATTTGTTCTAACGTTGCGTGTTGGAGTAGATTTTTAATTTTTCAAATCATTTTGTACTAACGCTGCGTGCTGGGGTAGATTTTTAATTTTTTAGATCATTTTGTACTAACGTTGCGTGTTGGGGCAGATTTTTAATGTTTAAAATCATTTGGTACTAACGTTGCGTGTTGGGGTAGATATATAACTTTTTCAATCATTTGTTCTAACGTTGCGTGTTGGATTAGATTTT